ATTGATGTTTAAATTAAGTTTTGGGACCAAGAACATGAGTTTACGGCCAAGTATCAAGCTTAGGCCGTAAACTCCTCAATATGGGGTTTTTAAGCCAAATTTACCCTTCCAAATCATAGTTGGGACTTAGATATGACCTTGAGGCTTGCAAATCTGGACTTGGAACACATTAAACATGAATTTTGTGGGACAAACAAGAGTTTATGGCCAAGGCATGTACTTGGGCCGTAAACTCCTCTAAAATGGGGATTACGTGCCTTAATTCATGTTAGAATGCTTTGAAACTCAACAAATAGCTTTGTGGTAAATCCTAGATTCATCTAAAAATAGTTTAAGGGTTTGTAACACATCAAAAATGCCACATATAGGAGTTTACGGCCTAGGATCATACCCTTGGCCGTAAACTCATGAAACTTTCTTAAATGATGCATCAAATTCACTCTAATGGCTTGCATAAATTTCTAGAATCACATGTGATTGTTTCAAGCATCAAAAACTAACTTTTCATGAGCATAGGAGAGTTTACGGCCATACAACATGCTTCTAGGCCATAAACTCCTAAAAATATGTTAAATGGTGCTCTAAATTCATAACAAGGCTTGGAAAATTAACTAGAATCACACGTGATTGTTCTTTGTACCTAAAATGAATTGTTTTTTACCATATTAGAGTTTACGGCCGTAAACTCCAAGTTTAAGGCCGTAAACTCCCTTTTAAATGCTATAAATTCATTCAAATTGTTCCAAGGCATTTTAGAAATCCATTCCAACAATCCCCATGCCCATTCAAACCATTAAACCCTCAAAACCACACCAACATGAGTTTACGGCCGTAAACTCATGTGTGTGTGTTTGTTTTGTGGCTGTAAACTCCATAAAATGTTTACTTTTGGAGATTAAACTCAAGTCCCAAGCCCCTAGTTCCATATTATGTCCGAAGATGTCACCCGGGTCACTCCAAACGCTCATTTTGAGGTGTTTAACCTCGTTGGAGTGTAATGTTCCATATAATTAGTGAAAGTATCCCTAATTGAATATATATGGACATTATTTCATTTTACATAGGGACATCACAAGTAAACAAACCCCAAACCCACGTTTAGTGTTCGAAAGCTTCGCATTCCCGAGTCTGGTGAGTTCATACCCCTACCCTTTTTCCGTGTTTTTCAATGTTTTCAGGGGGGGGGGAATACAAGCAATAAGTAAGAGTGTATTTTGTACTTAAAACTGATTTTCAACTCAATGGTTTTACTTACTAAATGTCTTGATTTCCAAATATTTGTGATAACTAACGTTTCGAATTGCAGGTTAAATATAGATTTCTTTTAAAAGTGTTATAACTATATTCGCTTTAAATAAGAAATCATACTAATCTAGTACGCATACGAATACGAATGTAATCTAATACGAATACGAATACGAATGTAACCTAATATGAATACGAATACGAATGTAATCTAGTACGAATACGAATACGAATGTAATCTAATACGAATACGAATACGAATGTAATCTAGTATGAATACGAATACGAATGTAATCTAATACGAATATGAATACGAATGTAATCTAATACGAATACGAATAGGAATATGACTACGAATACGAATACGACTACGAATACGAATACGACTACGACTACGAATGCAAAATGACGCCTTTGGTTGACATTAAGACTTCGAATATACAGTTAGTGTACCCCTTGAGTGTCACCAGAGTTTCAAAATAAATGCAAAAATACGCCTCTGGACCTCTACTGAGTTTCGAATATATCCGCCTCAGAATGTCGATAGAGCTTCGAATATACAGATAATGTACTCTTTTGGAATCAACAGAACTTCAAAAATACTGCAATGTACGCTTCTGTGTGATTCCAAATATTCGAAAATACAACTAAGTTAGTAGATAATGGTCATTTGAATGTAGAATAACTAATGGTTTAGAACACGTAACTAATAGTACTCACATGTTAATTACTACTACATCGAAATCAGACCTAAGAGCTAACCACCACACATAGGAAAATATGGGATTTTCCTGGGTTAACATAACAGCTAGTAACGAACTTAGAAACGAATAAACAACTCAACATATAGGAAAATATGGGATTTTCCTGGGATAGCATAACAATCAGTAACGAATCTAAATACAAATAGACAACTCAATACATAGGAAAATATGGGATTTTCCTGGATAGTACAACAACACATAAACGGATAAAGTAACAAACGAATAACTAAAACTATAAGGATAATATGGGATTTTCCTGGAATGATATAACCAACCGTTTTCGAAATTGTAACAAAGGATAACCAAACCGTTTTCATAAGAAAATTTGGGATTTTCTTGATCAACAACTTTTCAGATAGCAAAGGAAACTCGTTCTTTTAAAAACTAAACCGCTTATGAACTCACCAGCTTTATGTTGATTTTCAAACTGCTTGTATTCTTAGGTCAGCGTTAGACAGGTACATCGCAACCTTTTGGAGAAGACGGAGCGTCCCGAAGACTCGTCTTTACTTTTGTTCATATCATATATGTATAAAACACTTGTACAACTTTACTTGCAAACAGATGTAAACAATATTATGTAATGTAATGTTTTGTGATTACTGCTTTACTATGTGCATTGGATTTGATACTTAACGTGGAGTCCGCCCCGGAAACGTTTCTGCCTTTGGTTTTCGGGGTGTGACAATAAGTTTCGTGGTTGAAGAGTAATCTATTTAAGAAATTGAAGAAGAAACTAATTTTGTGATCGGAGATGAAATTGTTGAAGCAATTGTGGAAGAAATCAATTTTATTGATATGCACAAAATTGTTGAAGAAATGGTGATTTTTGTTGAACAACAAAAATCATTCCGAGAGCTCACAACCTTGAGAACCAATGACTATAAGTGCCACAAAAATTCAGGTTCTCATATCTTTTATGAACATAATTCCTTTTCTAATGATCTTAAAGAAATCCAAATTGGAAGCTTCATTGATCAAGAAGGGTTATTTGTTTTTCTTCTTCTTGTTCATTTCAAAGTGTGGGAAATGTTTACACTTTAGAGGCCATGGAATGCTTATATTTTACATTTTGAAGACCTTGACGAGAGGAGGAAGTATGGTGAGAGGTTGGATTTTACTGATTATGATCTTACTAATGTTTTTTTTGTTTTGTCTTCATTCATTGATCAAAAGGAGAAAAAAGACTTGCATATTACTTTTGATAAAAAGTTTTGTGCAATTGAAGATAGAAACTTTTCATTCGTGACTCAAAAACAGCAAGACCAATTATTTTTGGATGATGGCAGAATTTTGAACCCTCCAAAAGATGATATGAAGATTTCCAAAACAATATGTGTTCATGGTGGTAGCAATCAGTCACGGAAAGAGGCATTGTGTGGCAATTCTTATGCCAATTTTTCGTGTTGGCCACAAACAAAAGATATTTTTATTAATTCTTCATTCGTTGTTCAAAAACACCAGGAGCGCAGGCATGCATTTTGTGGTGAAAGAAAGAAGAAGGATTGTATGCATCTTTTTACAAACCATCTTTCTAAGAGTAAAGAAGAAAGAATTAATCAATATGAAGATCCAAGTCCCAAGTATTTACGTAGGGGGGAGCTCATGATGTTGGGACTCATATTCTATAGGTGTGCCTTTAATTGGGAAGCCATGATATTGGGGCGTGCTGCTCATCAACTTACAAATACAAACCATGATTCATTCTTTAAAATGACTACAATTAACCATTTAAACTATTGCAAAGTTAATTTGCAAGGTTGAGTTCATGGGAAGGTACGAAAATGGTTTTTTGATCTACAAATGGAAGATACAGTTAGGATTGAATTATGTGAGTTATTTTAGTTGTTTGAAGAAGAACATGTGTATGTGGAGAAAAGACCAACATGGAGTAAAGAAAAGGTCACATTTTGTAATAAATATGTGTTTTCAAGACCTGTTGTCATGGAAGGTTTGCATGGGAGAACAACACAATTTGGTTCTTACCGAATTGAGGATAATTCCTTACCGAAGAAGGAGGGAATGGTACATGTGTGGAAGTGACAAACTCTAAAAATAATAATCGTTACAAGGTGGATTTAGGAGGAGACCATGGAGTGCATGCTACCGTTAATGTGGGAGTTCTTTCACCTTATCTTGATGATGACGGACTTGATGAATTGAGGTCAATTCCTTTCAAAGGGTGAGGGGATGATCCATGCATGGATCATGAAAGCCCAAAATGTGAAGAAGTAGTGATTACTAGTGGGCTAGAAGGTCGTTTGGGCTCAATGGTTGGGTTGTGCATGGTAACCCACAAATTGAATTAGGGTTGCATGAGGGCTAGGGAAACATTTTTAAGGCTTCATAAGTGCTAAAAACGTTACTTTTTACTTCATAAAGCCTCCTAGCCGTTTTTATCACTCTTTGGTGGATTAGGGTTACACTTTAATGGTTTTGATGGCTCATTAATGCTTCTTATGGCTCCTTAATGAAGCATAGATGTTTTTTCTTCATCCTTAAGTGTCTTGAACATTTTTTTTGTGTTATTTCAAAAGTTTCCTTAATTTTCATTTACTAGTTTTAATGAATAATTGGTTGGTTGGCTTCTAACCACCAAATTTGTAATAAAGGCTTCATATAAAGCCAAGTTTATGCATGGAAAACGTAATAGACGAATTTTAATCATAGAACACGTTTGTTAACTTTGAATTATTGTCATAGTTCACAAATTATCATCTTTTGGACATGATCCTTCAGTTGATCGAACTCAAACTAATAGGTCTTACTTTGTCTTCAGATTTACAAGCTATAGGTCTAGTTTGTTTATCAAATCTATCCTTTTATTGTTTCTGTCTCAAACACTATTCAATCTCAATACAAAACAACCAATACACGCATCATAAGTGGTATCAGAGCCAGGTTCCGATTAGGTGTTGTTGAGTTCTTGTTTAAAAATATCCTGATAAGTGTGTTTGATTTTAGTTCCTGTTCAAAAATTGTTTTCCAAACATGCTGCGTAAGATATATGATGAAGAAGAGGTAGAGGAAGAGAAAATTGAAGAATACGAGGAAGAAGATTCCGGTCCCATCTACGTCACTGATGGGGAAGGAGTATTTTGTGAAAGAATAAGTTTCTTGGTTGAAGAGGAGTTTATTGAAGAAATTGAAGAAGAAACTAATTTTGTGATCAGAGATGAAATTGTTGAAGCAATTGTGGAAGAAATCAATTTTATTGATATGCACGAAATTGTTGAAGAAATGGTGATTTTTGTTGAACAACAAAAATCATTCCGAGAGCTCACAACCTTGAGAACCAATGACTATAAGTGCCACAAAAATTCAGGTTCTCATATCTTTTATGAACATAATTCCTTTTCTAATGATCTTAAAGAAATCCAAATTGGAAGCTTCATTGATCAAGAAGGGTTATTTGTTTTTCTTCTTCTTGTTCGTTTCAAAGTGTGGGAAATGTTTACACTTTAGAGACCATGGAATGCTTATATTTTACATTTTGAAGACCTTGACGAGAGGAGGAAGTATGGTGAGAGGTTGGATTTTACTGATTATGATCTTACTAATGTTGTTTTTGTTTTGTCATCATTCATTGATCAAAAGGAGAAAAAAGACTTGTATATTACTTTAGATAAAAAGTTTTGTGCAATTGAAGATAGAAACTTTTCATTCGTGACTCAAAAACAGCAAGACCAATTGATTTGGATGATGGCAGAATTTTGTACCCTCCAAAAGACGATATGAAGATTTCCAAAACAATATGTGTTCATGGTCGTAGCAATCAGTCACGAAAAGAGGCATTGCGTGGCAATTCTTATGCCAATTTTTCGTGTTGGCGACAAACAAAAGATATTTTCATTAATTCTTCATTCGTTGTTCAAAAACACCAGGAGCGAAGGCATGCATTTTGTGGTGAAAGAAAGAAGAAGGATTGTATCCATCGTTTTACAAACCATCTTTCTAAGAGTAAAGAAGAAAGAATTAATCAATATGAAGATCCAAGTCCCAAGTATATACGTAGGGGGGATCTCATGATGTTGGGACTCATATTCTATTGGTGTGCCTTTAATTGGGAAGCAATGATATTGGAGCGTGCTGCTCATTAACTTACAAATACAAACCATGACTCATTCTTTAAAATAACTACAATTAACCATTTAAATGATTGCAAAGTTAATTTGCAGGGTCGAGTTCATGGGAAGGTACGAAAATGGTTTTTGATCTACAAATGGAAGATACGGTTAGGATTGAATTATGTGAGTTATTTTAGTTGTTTGAAGAAGAACATGTGTATGTGGAGAAAAGACCAACATGGAGTACAGAAAAGGTCACATTTTGTAATAAATATGTGTTTTCAAGACCTGTTGTCATGGAAGGTTTGCATGGGAGAACAACACAATTTGGTTCTTACCGAATTGAGGACACTTCCTTTCAAAGAAGGAGGGAATGATATATGTGCGGAAGTGACAAATTCTGAAAATAATAATTGTTACAGGGTGGATTTAAGAGGAGACCATGGATTGCATGCTACCTTTAATGTCGGAGATCTTTCACCTTATCTTGATGATGATGGACTTGATGAATTGAGGTCAATTCCTTTCAAAGGGGGAGGGGATGATCCATGCATGGATCATGAAAGCCCAAAATGTGATGGAGTAGTGATTACTAGTGGGTTGGGTTGTGCATGGTAACCCACAAATTGAATTAGGGTTGCATGAGGGCTAGGGCAACATTTTTAAGGCTTCATAAGTGCTAAAAACGTTACTTTTTACTTCATAAAGCCTCCTAGCCGTTTTTATCACTCTTTGGTGGATTAGGGTTACACTTTAATGCTTCTGATGGCTCATTAATGCTTCTTATGGCTCCTTAATGAAGCATAGACGTTTTTTCTTCATCCTCAAGTGTCTTGGACGTTTTTTTTGTGTTATTTCAAGAGTTTCCTTAATTTTCATTTACTAGTTTTAATGAATAATTGGTTGGTTGGCTTGTAACCACCAAATTTGTAATAAAGGCTTCATATAAAGCCAAGTTTATGCATGGAAAAAGTAATAGACGAATTTTAATCATTGAACCCTTTTGTTAACTTTGGATTATTATCATAGTTCATAAATTATCATCTTTTGGACATGATCCTTGAGTTGATCGAATTCAAACTAATAGGTCTTAGTTTGTCTTCAGATTTACAAGCTATAGGTCTAGTTTGTTTATCAAATCTATCCTTTTATTGTTTCTGTCTCAAACACTATTCAATTATGTGGTATCAGAGCCAGGTTCCGATTGGGTGTTGTTGAGTTATTGTTTAAATAAATCCTGCTAAGTTTGTTTGATTTTAGTCCCTGTTCAGAAATTGTTTTCCAAACATGCTGGGTAAGATATATGATGAAGAAGAGGTAGAGGAAGAGAAAATTGGAGAATATGATGAAGAAGATTCCGGTCCCATCTACGACACTGATGGGGAAGGAGAATTTTGTGAAAGAATAAGTTTCTTGGTTGAAGAGAAATTTATTGAAGAAATTGAAGAAGAAACTAATTTTGTGATCAGAGATGAAATTGTTGAAGCAATTATGGAAGAAATCAATTTTATTGATATGCACGAAATTGTTGAAGAAATGGTGATTTTTGTTGAACAACAAAAATCATTCTGAGAGCTCACAACCTTGAGAACCAATGACTATAAGTGCCACAAAAATTCACGTTCTCATATCTTTTATGAACATAATTCCTTTTCTAATGAGCTTAAAGAAATCCAAATTGGAAGCTTCATTGATCATGAAGGGTTATTTGTTTTTCATCTTCATGTTCGTTTCAAAGTGTGGGAAATTTTTACACTTTGGAGACCATGGAATGCTTATATTTTACATTTTGAAGACCTTGACGAGAGGAGGAAGTATGGTGAGAGGTTGGATTTTACTGATTATGATCTTACTAATATTGTTTTATTTTGTCTTCATTCATTGATCAAAAGGAGAAAAAAGACTTGCATATTACTTTTGATAAAAAAGTTTTGCGCAATCGAAGATAGAAACTTTTCATCCGTGACTCAAAAACAGCAAGACCAATTGTTTTTGGATGATGGCAGAATTTTGTACCCTCCAAAAGATGATATGAAGATTTCCAAAACAATATGTGTTCATGGTGGTAGCAATCAGTCACGAAACGAGGCATTGCGTGGCAATTCTTATGCCAATTTTCCGTGTTGGCGACAAACAAAACATATTTTTATTAATTCTTCATTCGTTGTTCAAAAACACCAGGAGCGAAGGCTTGCATTTTGTGGTGAAAGAAAGAAGAAGGATTGTATCCATTGTTTTACTAACCATCTTTCTAAGAGTAAAGAAGAAAGAATTAATCAATATGAAGATCCAAGTCCCAAGTATTTACGTAGGGGGGAGCTCATGATGTTGGGACTCGTATTCTATTGGTGTGAATTTAATTGGGAAGCCAGGATATTGGGGCGTGCTGCTCATCAACTTACAAATACAAACCATGATTCATTCTTTAAAATGACTACAATTAACCATTTAAATTATTGCAAAGTTAATTTGCAGGGTCGAGTTCATGGGAAGGTACGAAAATGGTTTTTGATCTACAAATGGAAGATACGGTTAGGATTGAATTATGTGAGTTATTTTAGTTGTTTGAAGAAGAACATGTGTTGTGGAGAAAAGACCAACATGGAGTAAAAAAAGGTCACATTTTGTAATAAATATGTGTTTTCAAGACCTGTTGTCATGGAAGGTTTGCATGGGAGAACAACACAATTTGGTTCTTACCGAATTGAGGACAATTCCTTTCGAAGAAGGAGGGAATGATACATGTGTGGAAGTGACAAATTCTGAAAATAATAATCGTTACAAGGTGGATTTAGGAGGAGACCATGGAGTGCATGCTACCTTTAATGTGGGAGATCTTTCACCTTATCTTTATGATGATGGACTTGATGAATTGAGGTCAATTCCTTTCAAAGGGGGAGGGGATGATCCATGCATGGATCATGAAAGCCCAAAATGTGATGGAGTAGTGATTACAAGTGGGTTGGGTTGTGCATGGTAACCCACAAATTGAATTAGGGTTGCATGAGGCCTAGGGCAACATTTTTAAGGCTTCACAAGTGCTAAAAACGTTACTTTTTACTTCATAAAGCCTCCTAGCCGTTTTTATCACTCTTTGGTGGATTACGGTTACACTTTAATGCTTCTGATGGCTCATTAATGCTTCTTATGGCTCCTTAATGAAGCATAGAGTTTTTTCTTCATCCTCAAGTGTCTTGGACGTTTTTTTGTGTTATTTCAAGAGTTTCCTTAATTTTCATTTACTAGTTTTAATGAATAATTGGTTGGTTGGCTTGTAACCACCAAATTTGTAATAAAGGCTTCATATAAAGCCAAGTTTATGCATGGAAAAAGTAATAGACGAATTTTAATCATAGAACCCTTTTGTTAACTTTGAATTATTGTGATAGTTCACAAATTATCATCTTTTGGACATGATCCTTGAGTAGATCGAATTCAAACTAATAGGTCTTAGTTTGTCTTCAGATTTACAAGCTATAGGTCTAGTTTGTTTATCAAATCTATCCTTTTATTGTCTCTGCCTCAAACACTATTCAATCTCAATACAAAACAACCCATACACGCATCATAAGTGGTATTAGAGCCAGGTTCCGATTGGGTGTTGTTGAGTTATTGTTTAAATAAATCCTGCTAAGTGTGTTTGATTTTAGTTCCAGTTCAGAAATTGTTTTCCAAACATGCTGTGTATGATATATGATGAAGAAGAGGTAGAGGAAGAGAAAATTGAAGACTATGAGGAAGAAGATTCTGGTCCCATCTACGACACTGATGGGGAAGGAGAATATTGTGAAAGAATGGGTTTTTTGGTTGAAGAGAAATTTATTGAAGAAATTGAAGAAGAAACTAATTTTGTGATCGGAGATGAAATTGTTGAAGCAATTGTGGAAGAAATCAATTTTATTGATATGCACAAAATTGTTGAAGAAATGGTGATTTTTGTTGAACAACAAAAATCATTCCGAGAGCTCACAACCTTGAGAACCAATGACTATAAGTGCCACAAAAATTCAGGTTCTCATATCTTTTATGAACATAATTCCTTTTCTAATGATCTTAAAGAAATCCAAATTGGAAGCTTCATTGATCAAGAAGGGTTATTTGTTTTTCATCTTCATGTTCGTTTCAAAGTGTGGGAAATTTTTACACTTTGGAGACCATGGAATGCTTATATTTTACATTTTGAAGACCTTGACGAGAGGAGGAAGTATGGTGAGAGGTTGGATTTTACTGATTATGATCTTACTAATGTTGTTTTTGTTTTGTCTTCATTCATTGATCAAAAGGAGAAAAAAGACTTGCATATTACTTTTGATAAAAAGTTTTGTCCAATTGAAGATAGAAACTTGTCATTCGTGACTCAAAAACAGCAAGACCAATTATTTTTGGATGATGGCAGAATTTTGTACCCTCCAAAAGACGATATGAAGATTTCCAAAACAATATGTGTTCATGGCGTAGCAATCAGTCACGAAAAGAGGCATTGCGTGGCAATTCTTATGCCAATTTTTCGTGTTGGCGACAAACAAAACATATTTTTATTAATTCTTCATTCGTTGTTCAAAAACACCAGGAGCGAAGGCTTGCATTTTGTGGTGAAAGAAAGAAGAAGGATTGTATCCATTGTTTTACTAACCATCTTTCTAAGAGTAAAGAAGAAAGAATTAATCAATATGAAGATCCAAGTCCCAAGTATTTACGTAGGGGGGAGCTCATGATGTTGGGACTCGTATTCTATTGGTGTGAATTTAATTGGGAAGCCATGATATTGGGGCATGCTGCTCATCAACTTACAAATACAAACCATGATTCATTCTTTAAAATGACTACAATTAACCATTTAAATTATTGCAAAGTTAATTTGCAGGGTCGAGTTCATGGGAAGGTACGAAAATGGTTTTTGATCTACAAATGGAAGATACGGTTAGGATTGAATTATGTGAGTATTTTAGTTGTTTGAAGAAGAACATGTGTTGTGGAGAAAAGACCAACATGGAGTAAGAAAAGGTCACATTTTGTAATAAATATGTGTTTTCAAGACCTGTTGTCATGGAAGGTTTGCATGGGAGAACAACACAATTTGGTTATTACCGAATTGAGGACAATTCCTTTCGAAGAAGGAGGGAATGATACATGTGTGGAAGTGACAAACTCTGAAAATAATAATCGTTACAAGGTGGATTTAGGAGGAGACCATGGAGTGCATGCTACCTTTAATGTGGGAGATCTTTCACCTTATCTTGATGATGATGGACTTGATGAATTGAGGTCAATTCCTTTCAAAGGGGGAGGGGATGATCCATGCATGGATCATGAAAGCCCAAAATGTGATGGAGTAGTGATTACTAGTGGGTTGGGTTGTGCATGGTAACCCACAAATTGAATTAGGGTTGCATGAGGGCTAGGGCAACATTTTTAAGGCTTCATAAGTGCTAAAAACGTTACTTTTTACTTCATAAAGCCTCCTAGCCGTTTTTATCACTCTTTGGTGGATTAGGGTTACACTTTGATGCTTCTGATGGCTCATTAATGCTTCTTATGGCTCCTTAATGAAGCATAGACGTTTTTTCTTCATCCTCAAGTGTCTTGGACGTTTTTTTGTGTTATTTCAAGAGTTTCCTTAATTTTCATTTACTAGTTTTAATGAATAATTGGTTGGTTGGCTTGTAACCACCAAATTTGTAATAAAGGCTTCATATAAAGCCAAGTTTATGCATGGAAAAAGTAATAGACAAATTTTAATCATAGAACCCTTTTTTTATAACTTTGAATTATTGTCATAGTTCACAAATTATCATCTTTTGGACATGATCCTTGAGTTGATCGAATTCAAACTAATAGGTCTTAGTTTGTCTTCAGTTTTACAAGCTATAGGTCTAGTTTGTTTATCAAATCTATCCTTTTATTGTTTCTGTCTCAAACATTATTCAATCTCAATACAAAACAGCCCATACGCGCATCATAAGTGGTATCAGAGCCAGGTTCCGATTGGGTGTTGTTGAGTTCTTATTTAAAAAAATCCTGCTAAGTGTGTTTAATTTTAGTTCCTGTTCAGAAATTGTTTTCCAAACATGCTGCGTAAGATATATGATGAAGAAGAGGTAGAGGAAGAGAAAATTGAAGAATATGAGGAAGAAGATTCCGGTCCCATCTACGACACTGATGGGGAAGGAGAATTTTGTGAAAGAATAAGTTTCTTGGTTGAAGAGGAATTTATTGAAGAAATTGAAGAAGAAATTAATTTTGTGATCGGAGATGAAATTGTTGAAGCAATTGTGGAAGAGATCAATTTTATTGATCTGCACAAAATTGTTGAAGAAATGGTGATTTTTGTTGAACAACAAAAATCATTCCGAGAGCTCACAACCTTGAGAACCAATGACTATAAGTGCCACAAAAATTCAGGTTCTCATATCTTTTATGAACATAATTCCTTTTCTAAAGATCTTAAAGAAATCCAAATTAGAAGCTTCATTGATCAAGAAGGGTTATTTGTTTTTCATCTTCATGTTCGTTTCAAAGTGTGGGAAATTTTTACACTTTGGAGACCATGGAATGCTTATATTTTATATTTTGAAGACCTTGACGAGAGGAGGAAGTATGGTGAGAGGTTGGATTTTACTGATTATGATCTTACTAATATTGTTTTTGTTTTGTGTTCATTCATTGATCAAAAGGAGAAAAAAAGACTTGCATATTACTTTTGATAAAAAGTTTTGCGCAATTGAAGATAGAAACTTTTCATCCGTGACTCAAAAATAGCAAGACCAATTGTTTTTAGATGATGGCAGAATTTTGTTCCCACCAAAAGATGATATGAAGATTTCATGAACGCGAAACCAACATCCTTCAATGGCGCTAGAGGTGTCATTTCCTTATCCCGATGGTTCGAGAAAATCGAGTCCATCTTTGAAATCTGTGCTTGTGCGGAGTCCGATAAAGTTAAATTCGTGGCCTGTACCTTCGTTGACAAAGCCCTGACTTGGTGGAATGGCCGAGTCAAATCTCTAACCTTACCCGTAGCCAATGCCATGGGCTGGTGTAACAACCCGAAATTTCCGTATCATTTATTGTAACTCTTTTGTAGTACAATTCGCGCAACCAATCGTCGTTTTCAAATTCGATTTCCGACCTCCCGTTTAATTAAGTCATTAACTAGTGCGTATATAAAATGACTTAATGGGTGTCTTAATACATTTAGAAATCATTTTAACTCCCAACTTTAGTGATCGTAATATTTCTAGAAATTACCGTATCGGGTTACAGTAAATCAATCGGGTACGACCAAAAGCCTCGTCTAACGTCGGTATTGGGTAGAATTCCACCGTGTCCAAAACTTAAACACTATATAAACGTGTTTAAGCCTCCATTTGAAGCCTTTGGTCAATTTCTCATTTAACTCTCACAACCTCTCTCCTCATCCCAAAATCAAGGTCCAAAACAAAGATTTAAGGCTTGAAATCAAAGAGGTAACACCCCCTAACTTGTTATTCAACCTCTTTAGCCTTCAAATTTATGTTTAATTTGTGTTTTGGGACCAAGAACATGAGTTTACGGCCAAGGAACAAGCTTGGGCCGTAAACTCCTAAAGATGGGGTTTTTAAGCCCTAAAACCCTTCCTAAGCATTGTTGGACATTAGATATGACCTTATGTCACACCCCCAAACCAAGGATGGCGGAAACGTCCGGGGGTGGAGGACTTCATGTATAGTATCATAACCACAATTTCAATAGTAATTTAAGCAAACACAAACAACATATATATAATTGAAAAAGTTACATCACTTGTATGAATTACATGTTTCAAAATCAATTACAATATGTTGACAAAATATGAAGGAGTTTGACGTCTTAACGTCCCATCCTCAAAAGCACTTGATTACCTATTTAGTGTTTTCCTGAGAATACGAGTTGTTTGAAAAGTGTCAACACAAAGGTTGGTGAGTTCATAAGCTTTTATTAATAAACTTAGTAGAAGTCTATCACATGTAAATGTCGCGTTTGTGTCAGAAAAATCCGATATTTTCCTTGAAATCCGAAAAATGTAGCCTTATAACCAAAGACTAAAATGTATAAGAAATCATCATTTCTTAGTAGAAATGTCGTGAGTTTAAATGATATGGAAAGTAAATTTCTTTATCAACCTAAAACCTACTTCGTTTTATGAAACCCCGTAAACTTTATGAATTGTTATCTCCCTAGGTGAGTCGCTATAATCATACTGTGACTATGTGAACCTGCCACAACGTTTCTCAGGCGTCGCGAAAATGAAATGACATTTGTCACCCGTAGACCTGCAGGTCCCACTGTAGCTAGCAGCAAGGTGTGGGGTGTCAAACCCAATATAGATCTATATACAAGTATCACGTTCTCCCTCAAGGAGATTTTGATTATAACTACCAGGAATTATATCCCGCACTCGGACGTACGGGGAGAGAGAGTCTCACAACATAGGTTAACGAGTTTACGTGAAATGTGTGTGGATATAAATCTTTCTTGTATGAATGTACCCTTTTTGTACGAGTGTGTTGAGTGATGTATCATAAACTATACCTATTATAGTTTATCTAAAATGTATATAATATGTATGAATTCTTTTTATGGAAATGTATTAGTGTTGTGAATTTATCCAACTATACTTTTTATAGTTACATAATACGTGTTCTAAATGAATGAATAATATTTAATATGAATGACTTAGTTTCAGTTCACAATGATAAACTAACAAGGAAACACATTCAAATATTAAAACTTATGATTATACACTTTGCTCAACATATTACAAAGTGTTATGATATTTACATGCTGTTGGCTAACTTTAGCAATTCTGCCCAGTTTTGGAAAAATCATAGAAAAATCATACGAAGTCGAAAACTAGATCCGTAAATTCTGAGAGTTCACAAAATGTGTCTAGTTTACTCATAATTTTTATCACGATTTTTAATGACCTCCAACCTGGGTGAAAATGTCCATAATCACAAACTGGTCCGGATTGTTGTTTGAAATGATAGGCAGTTTTGTAAAAATCACCATAAATCGTAGAAAAATCGTATGGAGATGTGCAAGTAGTCATTTTAAAGCTACAAACTTGAACTATTTGCACCTTGTACAGTTTTGAAAACAAAAATGTTTAAGATACCCAAAACAGTCCGTGAATGGAGTTGAACTTTTCTGATGAAGGCTGTTAGAAAGATTTAATTATGTTCTTAGTGTTTTAACTTGTATTCCCCCCCTGAAAACTTGAGAAAACATGAAAATGTAGGGGTATGAACTCACCTTAAATGATTTCAGTAGGTAAGTGTTGAAGAAGATAAGTGTTCAACCCAAGAACACTTGAAGAATCACTTGAAGATTCGAAGATCTAACACAATTATGAGAGAGTTTGTCTAAGATATCCATGATTTGAGTGGAAATAATTGAGATAATTATAAAGAGAATGGATCATTCTTACCAAATGTGGAGGAAAATCCAAAGATCAGCCCTCAAATCTCGAGTTCTAGAGAGGGAAATTGAGAGAGAAAAGAGTTTGCTCTTTTTGGTGAAAAGAGAGGAAATGAGAGAAATGAGGAGAGAGGATGAATATTCAGCACTCAAAAACGTGGGAAAGGGGGATAATTGAGTGGAAAAGACATTGATGTGACCTAGGTAAGGTGGGGAGGTGTGGCTGGTCATAGAGTGGGTGTGGGAGTGGTTGCTTGTGTTATAAGGTAAAGCAAAG